ACATTCTGTCTGTATTTCCCTCTCTCTATCTACATCTTGCATTTCACCCTTCTTCTCTCACCCACCTCACGTCCCTCTTTCCTCCTGCCCTTCTCTCCCCTCTTTCTCTCCTGTCTTCCTCAACTTCTGTCTGTCTCTATTAGACTATAGTATTGTGTACCTTAAATAATAATAATAATAATAATAATAATAATAATAATAATAATAAAATCTAAAACCCCCAGCTATAGATAGTTTGTGAATGAGTGTATTCTGTTTAACTCTAACACACACACACACGGTCACTTTCACACAGTCTCGTGTGTGTGTGTGTGTGTGTGTGTGTGTGTGTGTGTGTGTGTGTGTGTGTGTGTGTGTGTGTTTACAGAATCAGTATCTGGAACCCTTTACTGGTAATTTACATTCCTGCAATGTAAAGACAGCCGAGTTTTGCTTAGGAAAATACAGCAGACAACAAACAAACAAACAAACAAACAAACACACACACACACACACACACACACACAAAATCTGCACGTTTAAAAATCACACTCGTGCGCGCACACACAGGTGTGCTGATCAAAAGTGGAGATAGGAAACGCGGCAACTGTCAACAAAAATCCACCCAGCAATCAGCAGGATCTAATGGTACTACGTACACACTGTTCTCACGCTCTTGTCTCTTTCACACAGTCTCTTATGTGGTAGAGTAAAGAGAATACACTCATTCCCAAACTATATATATACCTGGGGGACCCACACAGTCCCACACAGACCAAATTTGTACATCTAAAAATCACACACAGCTGTGCTCAACAGTGGAGTGAATAAACACAGCAGCTGCCAACAGAAATCTCCCAGCATTCCGCAGGATCTAACGCTACTACTACTTACACACTGTTCTCACACACACACACACACACACACACACACACACACACGAAGAACACAGCTGTGACTTTAGCGAGGAGAGAACTGAGGAACGGATCCTGAACAGCGCCGCCTGCAGCTCATCTGCAGCTACTGCAGGACGGAAGTCCATCAGGAGACATCTCTCAGAAAATAAACAGACGATGATGGAGGGAGATCAGTGCTGGAGAAACGTGGAGGAAAAAGAAGGACAGACAGAGAGAGAAAACAATGGACAAGCACAACGAAAGAAGATGAGGAGAGACAGAGACGAGAGGAGAAGGATGAAGAAAAAAAAAATGAGGCAAAGAGGAGAAAGGAAGAAAATGAGGGACAAAAAGAGGACGAAAGAAGACGAGCAACAAAGACAGAAGACAATGACAAGGAACAGAGATTAAAAAAAGGAAAAGAAGAAAATTGGAAACAAAAACACTTGGAGGAGGAAAAGGAGAACCGAAAAATGACAAGAAAAAGAAAAGAAGAAAGAAGCAGAAAACATGCGGCAAAGAGGGGGGGAAAAAACCCCAGAAAAGATTAAAGGAGAGTCACAGATATAAAAAAAATAATGACAGAAAGACGATAGATGAAGAAAACAAGCAAAAAAAAAAAAAAAAAGATTGAAGGAAAACAAGGGACCAAAAAAGACAAGAAGAAAAGAATAAAAGTGATGAATAAGAGAAAAGATGAAGAAAAAATGACAGGTAGAGGAAGAGAGAAAGTGAGTGAGGAAGACAAAAGAAGAAGAAAACAGGAAAACCAAGGGTAAAAAAACAGGAAGAGGAAAAGTGATGAAAAAAGAAGAAGAAAATGAGGGATGATAAAAAGATAGAAGATAATGAAGGAAAAGAAAAACGAGGGTTGTGATTAAAACATAAGAAACGAATAATAAATGATGGAGAAAGAAGAAGGATGAGAAGATGAGAATGAAGATGGAGAAAGTGAAAGAGATGATGGACAGATGATGGAGGGAAGAAAGTTTTGCTCTTCACTCACCGTTGTTCTTTCCATCGTCTCCGTTCTGTGAAGAAAATAAGAGGAAGAAGGCGATGTTAGGAGAAGAAACGAGCACACAGCTGCTGCAGGATCTCACCGTGGTGCTGAGGAGTGTGTGTGTGTGTGTGTGTGTGTGTGTGTGTGTGT